TTTTCGATTTTAATTTAACCTTGTTAAAGTCTGATAACCAAAATTAGAATTCTGCGACAACCACAAATATTGTTGGAGTTGGCGAAGAAGTTAAGGATAATAATGTAAACAAAGCTGAAAATTTAAAAGTTTAATTTTTTTTTTTCGTATTATCATTTAAAACAAAACAGTTTAAACAGAGACTTAATCAAGGCGTGTATATATATAAAACCGACATAAATTTTCTTTTAATATTTTACTTTAATAAATTTATAGGATTTAAAACTTTACCTTATAATATAGTATAACACTTTAAATCTCTCACCTATAATAAATTTATAGGTTGTAGAACTTTACCTTATAATATAGTATAACACTTTAAATCCCTCACCTATAAGAATTAAAGAAAATAATTTTTATTTAATATTTAATTAGCTGACTATTAATTCTGTTAATTGATTGTTAATTCTATTAACTGATTATTAGTATTTTGTTATAAAAATATAAAATTTAAATTCAATTTTATTTGTTAATTTCATTAACAAAATATTAACAGTCAGTTAACAGAATTAACAATTAATTAACAGAACTAATAGTAAATTAACAAAATTAACAAAATTAACAATCAGTTATAACTTGACATTAAATAAGAGTTATTTTCTTTAATTTGTATAGATGAGGGGTTAAAAGTGTTATAATATAAGAAAAAAATTAAAACCTATAAACTTATTAAGGTAAATAATTAAAAATAAACTTTTACCTTTAAAGTCTCCTTCTTCTTCTTCTTTTTTTTTCTTGAAAAGGGAAAAAAATTTCATCACGTTATCGTAATGAGAAAAGAACAAATTAGAACATCTTAATCAAAGACGGAGCCAATGAAAGCCAAGGGAGGCAGCGTCCTCTAAACTTTTGAAAAATATTTAATATGGTACTCTAACTTTTATTTGTTAAAAATGTTGTGTTATAATATGAATTCAAGGGTCATTTCAAATATAGAAAGAATATTTATAACTTAAATAAAAAAATTTTTAAAATAAGGATATGATTTTAAATAAAATGAACTTTATGACAATTTAATTAATTAAGAATTAGGGTTCTTAAACATTTCCTTATCTATTAAGATCTAAAAAAGAAAATTTTGATTATTTATTTAATCAATTTTAAAGTTATAGTTTTTTTAGTATTTTTTTTATTTCTTTCTTAATATTCTGTATAATAATTTAAAATTTTTATATGGCATTGAGGTATAGTTTTACCTTTCATGATTGAATTTATAATCATTTTTTATGTTAAATTAATCAAAATTAGAGTTCACTTTTTTAAAGTAATATTCTAGTATTTTTTATAATATTTTTTTTGGTGGAAGTATTTTTTATAATATTAGTATTTATCAACATGACTTTCAAAAAATTAGGAGAAAAATACCTCAAAATTACATTATTTTACTAAAATGAAATAACTTTGTTTAAGAATATATTACTTTTGTCTTTTTCAAAGTGAATTTATTAACATAATACAATTTTGTGATTTTTTCCTCTTAATTTTTTTAGAGATTTTGTTAACAAACATATTTTTCTTTTTCAATTCATTCTTCTATTGATGATTATATGATTTATTACTATAATATTGTATTATTATTATAATATATACATTTATTTCTAATTTTTGTTAAAAATATATCAATAAAAAGGATCACAAGTGAATCTTTTTATTAAAAAAATTTAAATATTAAAAAAATTAAAAAAAAAATAATATCATAAAAGATACTTTTGAAAACTTAAAGTTTTAATACTAATTCACTCTTCTAATTGAATTTTCTGACTCCGTCGTTAATCTTAATATTAAAAATATTAAAATATTTAATTATAATTATTAAATATATAAAATATAACATAAACTTAACTTTATTAAATTTACTATGTAATTATTATAAAGTATGTTAACATTTTTAATACTAAACCAACCTAATATTTTTATTTTCGCTACCATAATTTATATCATCGTACATTGTACTGTCATTGGAGTCGATTTGCGTTCATTAGGTGGGCTTATCTTGCAAATTAGAGGAAGAAAGCATTGGATCCAGTCCAGCCCAAACCAAAAGTCCTAAAACTCAAAGGCTTGGCTCGCAACCTACAATTAATAAGTGATGGAAGATTGTTGATGATAAAAATAGGAGCAGAGGACTTTGGATGGGAACCTTATTTACAATGGACATTGCATGACAGCAACCCCAACTCCAAAGTTCCCAAGAATGGATCTAAAATTAGAGCAGAATACAATTTATTTGTCAAGATACATGCAAGGTCCTTTTTTCCCCTTTTGATCAGCAGATACATTCAAGGTTAACCAACACATAGCAGCTTATGTCTAACTCATCTAATTAGAGTGACATTTCTTATACTTACTTCTAACCCATCTAACTAGAGTGACATTTCTTATGGGGTCGTGTTTTTGTGATATGCAGGACTATGACTTTATTGGATTCTTCTAAAAATAATGTGATACCTAGATGACAGAATTGTACCATGGAAGAATCAGTAACACTGCTTAAAGCAGAAGAAGAAACCTCTTGGTTTGTCTTCCATTGGGGCGTTACGTGTTTCTCTTGACCTGTCTCTTGAAGCAGTCATCAATGAACTTGTGCCAGGAGATTCAGGTGGCAGTATAGCATTCTTGGATGTCATTATCTGAGGAGGGATTGCCGGTTCTGGTGGGGAAATGGTAGAGAGATAATTCAGAAGCGTCTGGATGATTTGGGTGAAGTTAGGGCGAGAGTTTGGATCCTCTTGCCAGCATGAAGTCACAATTGATGCCAAGTCCTCTGGAAGGTCATCTGCACTAGGCCTGACATTCTGAAACAAGAGTTAAACATTAGGCCATGATACCTTCATGTCATAATCCTAAAGCTGAATTTTGAAGAAACTCGAGAAAACAACTAGTCACTCAGGGTATCTTTGTTTTGACAGCTCTGCATCTCTCTTTGAGTGCTGAGTTCTATGTTCAACTATACATGTATTTATGGGCCAGAAGTTCTAGTACTCTCAAATATAGCCTTAAAATATGTAGCTACCAGTGGATGTTAAAGAATCAAGGGAACATTATGCTTTACCTTAAAAGCAGCTGCATAGGCTGCTTGTAAATTTGACATCCCTTCAAAAGGCAACTTATTATGGATGAGTTCCCACAATACAATAGCAAAGCTGTAGGCATCCACCTTATGATTGTAATGCTTTTTCTCTCCATGCCTTAATGTAACTGTGCTATAAAGCTGTTGCCAGATAAGAAAGGGAAAGTCAGCATTCTAATAAGGAACACAAACTACAATTTTTTGGAAAAAAAAAAAAAAAGAACCAATTTTAAGTTGTTACCTCTGGAGCCATCCAACGATATGTCCCAGTTTCAGCAGTCATCATCTCTGTAAGAGACTCTTCTCTGGCTAAACCAAAATCTGCTAATTTCACTGTTCTATGATCTGCAGTCAAGATCAAGTTCTCTACAGGGAAAAAGAAAATCATTAGAATTATGCCTAATAACTTGCACTGTGGCTGCACCACAAAAGCAAAAGATAAATGAGCATTTCATAATTTACTTAGAGACTAATATGCTTATATTTACTTTTCACCAAGAGGCTTCACTCATCAAAGTGGATGCTAGGAAGTCAAGGGAAAAATGGAACCATACATGTGATACTTGGATTACTTGATCAGTCAAGCATTCGTGTATGTCAATCTCAAACACAACTTCACAAAACATCATATTCTAAGAAATCACATTGGTTTTGGTTAAACAAAAAGCTACCGAAACAATCACAGACCAGGAGAAAAACTAGATCATATCCACAGAAGCAGCATCAAACTGTAGTATCTAGAACAAACATTTATGTGCTCTGTCTAATAACAATTCTATTGCTCCACCTTGTCATCCAACCATGCCCTAGGACAACATTTTTTTTCCATAATTCATTTATGAAATGGAAATAGACTGATGAGCTCATCATCAAAGAAAAGCTCATTCCGTTGAAGGGCATGCTTCTAAATCCTTTAAACATACAGAAAGTACATGACAAAATATAAATTAAAGACATACCAGGTTACCATGTTTTCCATTTCGCTATTTAAGGGTAAACCAGAATCTGACAAAGGTTGCTGCTAGATACTTAAGTTGCTAACCTTGTCACACAATGCTATTATGCTACTCAATTGAACTTAATGCTCAATGTTTTGATCATACCAGGCTTCAAGTCACGGTGAATGATCCCATGAGAATGTAAGCACTCCATTGCACGAGCTATGTCAAGTGCAAATCCAATGGCCACAGGCAGATCCAAGCGCCTTGGTCGCATATTTAGCAGGTACTTACGCAAAGTCCCACCTAGTAGGAGCTCAGTTACTATCACCATCATAGGTTCCTTGCAAGCACCAATAAACTGGAAATACATGATAGAGATAGACCATCAAAATTGTATGTTTTTCCACTACAATTATCCACACATGAAATTTCTGGATAAACAGTTCTAGCCCTGCCCCCCCCCCCCCCCCCCCCCCCACGAACAATATATATACATATAGAGAGAGAGAGAGAGAGAGAGAGAGAGAGAGAGGAAAGAACATTAAAATCAACAACTAAATGTCATTACTTATATGTTAAATAAACAACCTTAACTAGATTTTTGTGCTGAACTCTAGATAGCATAGCAACCTCTCTTGCAAACCGAGCTTCTCTCCTGGCAATTTCTTCTGGTGTTTCCCCTCTACGAACAAGTTTAATGGCAACATTTTGATTTTTGTATCTAAATACACCCAAAGAAAATCAAAATCAGAGAACTGCCACATAGCAAAGCACCAAGCATCCAAACCATACACTAAAAATTAAAAAGCAAAAGATAGAATTGAAAATCTCAAGATCAGTACTTTTCAATTAGGGAGGAAAAAATCTAAATTCCACAACGAAAAAACTGAATTTAGTCAAGAACCAGAGAACAATACTTGCAATCAGAGATTTAATCGTTAAAGCTGGAAAGGTCAATCCAAATTGACTTACTTTCCTTCATAGACTTTGGCGTGGGAACTCTCTCCAATCTTTGGCCCTACAAAAAGCAGCTTAGGATCGACCAACCACTTGTCATCCAAACTGAACTCTTGAGCTGAGAAAAACACATTCCCAGATCCCATCTTTCTCTCCTACAAACCAAGAACTCAGCTACTACCATCTATTAATCAAGGAAATCCATACCCTTTTCCCCATCACACATCTGAAGTACACTGAAAAACTCAAAAGCCCCCCAAAACCAAAGAAAACTATAAATAAAAACCATGCCCCATTATGTTCCTGATGAGGGAATACAAGGAGATACCCATCCCAGAAATCACGGTTGCAGATTAAGAACAATCACGAAATGGCCACAAAAGAGAGGCAGAGAATAAAACCCCACATGTTTTTAGAGACACCCACCAACAATCCCAGGAATTAAACAGAGATGGGAATTAAAATAAGAAACACTAAGCTAAAGGCACCCCTTGAGAGAGCAACAAGGGTTGACACAAGGGGAAACAAAAAGCTGATAAATTTGTATGGGAAATGAAAAGAGTAAGCAGAGTGTAGTGGATTAGAAGAAGCAAGAGTTAATGGAGGATGGAAGTGGAGAAGGAAATGGTGGATGCGAAGTGGGTTCTGGTTTCAGAGATCAATTAATAAAGGTTTATGCGTGTGTATTATGCTGGAAAGTATAGTAAAAAGAGCTTTCTCGTTTTCTCTCTCTTTCTTCGTGAGGTTTCCTTCTTCCTTCCGTCCCGTGTGTAGATTAAGGCCGCTGGAGGAATAATTTAGTCTTTGTCAGATTTTTTTATGAAGACTAATGATATAAAATAATTTCGGTGGAAGTTTTTTTATGTAATATTTAAGTACGAATTATTTAATTAAGTTAAT